CCAAAAATATTAACTACAATCTGTGGTGCCATAGTTCCAGGGAGGCTGAGGCAAGGGAATCTTAAGTTTGAGGCTAGCCTGGACTACACAGACATTCTTTATTTAAATGCTCTTTTATATACAAAGTGTATGTATTAAGTACCCATGAGTACTTTTCCCCATGAAATTTTTGTTCAATTTTTTATTTTATTTATTTATTTTTGGTTTTTCAAGACAGGGTTTCTTTGTAGCCTATTCTAGAACTCACTCTGTAGACCAGGCTGGCCTCAAACTCAGAGTTCCTGAATGCCTCCTGAGAACTGGGATTAAAGGTGTGTACCACCACCACCCAGCCAATTTTTTATTTTTATTTTGTTTTACTTTTATTTTTTGAGACAGGTTCTTGCTATATAGCCCAGGATCCTGAATGTTGGGATTATAGGTATGTGCTACAGTGTCCTTTGAAATTCTGGTTACAGTAACACGTATACAATGTAAGTTTTCAGCTTTTAGCACTATGACAAAATACCTGAAATAACCAACTCAGGGTTGCATGCACCCTCTGCCCTCCCAGTAAGGCCCTGTCTCCTATCAACTCTGCCCTACCCTTGTAGCATCCCTACCTGCCTGAAGTTGAAGTTGCTATTTACAAACTAGCCAACAAAGGCAGACTCCCTCCTGAATCATTGTGATTCCCAAAGGACTCAGATAACTCAGCATAGATCCAGTCTTGTGACTGGTAATAAAATCTTGAGAATCCCGAAGTCCAAAGGCCTTGCCCCGGATCTCCCTGAGGATCAGTACTGTTTAAAGAAGAAAGCGGTCACTGCCCACAGCGTCTTGATAGGAACAGAAAGGAGAAGAAAGTTAAATCCCATCTGACCCTGGTAGAGAGCCTTCACGGGTTGGCTTGTTATTATGAGATTAATCGTGTTGTGTCCTCCCACCCAGAGGGAAATCTGAGTCATCCACAGACTCTCCTCCAGCGGCATACATTTGTCTTGTATACCAAAGCAATAAATCACTTTAAATAATCATTTTATAACAGGAAAGGCTGTTGCTTTGGCTATGGCAAGGAAGCAGCAGGGCACAGGCTTGCATGGGAGTGAACTGCTCATCTCAGAGGCTAGGAACCAAAGACAGGGCATAAGCTGGCATCCTACAGTTTCCTTTAAAGGCATACCCTCAGTGACTTAAAAATTCCCACTAAAACTCACATAGAACAAGTTTGTTTGTTTTTGTTTTTTCAAGACAGGGTTTCTTTGTGTAGTCCTGGCTGTCCTGGAATTTGCTCTGTAGACCAAGCTGACCTCAAACTCACAGAGATCCACCTGCCTCTGCTTCCTGTGTGCTGGGATTAAAGATTTTCGCTACCACCTTCCAGTTTAAGCTTTTTTTTTTTTTTCTTAAAATGTGCATGCCTTATATCCTACGGGATATAAGAGGCAGAGGTAGGCATATCTCTTCAAGGTCAAGGCCAGCCAGATCTACACAGAGAGTTCCACGAGAGCCAGGGCTACATAGAGATACCCTATCTCCAATAAATAAATAAATAAATAAAAATTAAATAAATAAGCTATCCTTCTAGTAGTAGCAAGGACGGTCCTAGAAAACACCAAAGTGAATCTGGAGTTGTAGCTCAGTTGGCAGAGTGCTTGCTTAGCATGCATAAAGCACTGAGTTTAATCTCCAGCACTGTAAAAGCTAGGTATAGTGGACACACATATGTAGCCCCAGCAAGCTAGAAGATTAGAAGTTCAAGGTCATCCTCAGCTCCATATCCAATTTGGGGCCAGTCTGAGTTTTATGAAACCTTGTCACCAAAATAAATGCATAAATAAACCAAAGAAAATAGCAGTTGACTGTCCCAAACTCTTCCTTCCCAGCAGCCCTTTAACAGGAGGTTGAAGGCCCTGCTCATTGGTTCAGAACCATTCCCTACCAAGCTGCTAACTAGGCCTAACCAGCTCTTCTTAACTCATTGGTCATGTTTCCTGCAAGGCTTCACCTAGGTTACCATTTTATAGTTAAGGACCCTGCTTGCTGCATTGTCCCAGAATCCCACACCATGTACAACTACTGGCATTTCAGAATCGTTCCCTTTATTCTCAGAATTTTACAGATTGATCTATATTTTGCCTAGAAGATTAAACAAAAACCCACAGGACTTAAATCTTAGGAGAAACTCAGGACCAGCCAGGAGTGGTGTAGCAACCTTTAACCCCAGCACTGGAGAGACAGAGGCTGTTGATCTCTGTGAGTTCGAGGCCAGCCTGAGCTACATAGTGAGTTTCAGGACAGCCAGAGCTACATTGTGAGACCCTGCCTCAAAAATAACAAAGAAACCAAATGACCTAGGAGCCAAGGCGTTAAGTGAGATCTAAGTTGCATCTTGATTGCACAGGTCCTCCCTCAGCCCTTGGTTGGTATCCTGGTAACCTAGCCCCACCTGTGAGTCTTTGATCATCCTCCAATGCCTGAAAGTTAGCAAGAGTGGAGACCCTTAACCTTTCTATGTTCCATTTTGGCAGGAAGTAGCCAAACGGACTTAATGCCTGTCTTCTGAATGATTTTAAGGTCGTAACTCCGAGAAGAGGAATGTTAAATAGTTAGACAAGGGTTAGAAGACTTTGAGGTCACTGATGATGGCCATTGCCTTCATAACTGGCAATGCCGCTCCTTAAGATTTAAAATGCAGGGGCTGGAGAGGATGACTCAGTGGTTAAGAGTACTGGCTGGTCTTCTAGAGGTCCTGAATTCAATTTCCAGCAACCACATGATGGCTCACAACCATCTGTAATGAGATCTGGTGCCTTCTAGCCTGCAGGGATACATGCAGACAGAACACTTTATACATAATGAATAAAATCTTTTTTAAAAAGATTTAGAAGCAGATGGTGGTGGCACACACCTTTAATCCCAGCACTTGGGAGAAGGGCAGAGGCAGGCGGATCTCTGTGAGTTTGAGACCAGCTTGGTCTACAGAGTGAGTTCCAGAACAGGTTCCAAAGCTACACACAGAGAAACTCTATCTTGAAAAACTAGAACAAATGAACAAAAAGATTTAAAATGCTATATGAGGGCCAGAGATATGGGTCAGCAGTTAAGAACACAGGCTGTTCTTCCAGAGGACCTGGGTTCAGTTCCCAGCACCCACATGGCAGCTCGAAATTGTCTGTAACTCCAAGATCTGACACCTCACACAAACATGCAGGCAAAACACCAAGGCATATAAAATAAAAACAAATTATAAAAAAATGCTGTAGGAGAGGAAGTTGGAAATGTCAGGGTTTACACTGAGATCCACTAAGGGAAAGTACTTCTTACTGGTCAAAAGGAACAGAATTGGGGCTGAGGTAGTTCAGTGGTTATGAGCACTGATTGCTTGCAAGGTTGACTTTCGAGTGCCCTCATGGACCATTTGTAACCCCAGTTCCAGATCTCATGCCCTCTTCTGACCTTGGTGGGCACCAAGTATGCTTGCAGTACATGCATAAAATAAAGCTTAAAAAATGAACCTGGTCTTAAATAGATGTAACATTCCCATCTGCCCTGTTTACAATGCTATATAGTATTGTCTCCTCTCTTACGTTAATCTGACTGGTCTTGTCACCTGACCAGGAGACCCCCCCTCAGAAGAGCTGATTTACCTGAAGACCAGTGAAGGAGATGAAGACTATCCCCTCAATGAGGTGATGTACCTCAAGACCCGAAAGCCCTTACAGATCTTCACTAAGGCTGCCTGGTACTCTGAATTCTGACTCAAAGCATAACTTGTCCTTTTCTCATTTTTTCTTGGATATCAGCCAAAATCCTAAAAATAATGCCCTGTTGCTCTAGACATTCTTGTTCTGAAGCCCACTCTCTACATTTTCTTACAGACCTCCATTGTTGAGCCTTACTCAAATGTGTGCCTTTCTTTCCTTTTCAAGTCTGTTTTTCCTTCATGTATGTATTTGTACCACATGCATAGCTGGCACCCAGAGGTCAGAAGAGATCACGAGATCCCCCGAAACTGGAATTACAGATGATCGTGAGCCATCATGTGGGTGTTAGGAACTGATCCCAGCTCCTTTGCAAGAATGTCAATTATTACCACAGAGCAACCCTCCTGCCCTTTGAAGTCAGGAAGTGACTGGGGTCTGTTGGGGCATAAGCCTTGTTCCTCAACAATGGTGGTCAGGACAGCAGGACAGAGTGAAGGATCACACATCTTTAGTTCAGTCACTAGGGATGCTGAGGCAAGAGGATCATGTCATCCCAGGAGTTCGTGGCCAGCCTAGGCAACAATGAGACTTAGCTTATGTTTTGAGATATGGTCTAACTTGTGATTTTCGTGTCTCCACACATTCTGACATCAGATGTGCTCCACTCCAAGTTTGTTTTTTAAAATTACGTGTGTGTGCGTGCACATGCATGTTACAGGATATGTTGAGGATCATAGGACAACTTTTAGGAATCCGTTTTCTATCAAGCTCACAGGCTCCACAGCCATCTCACTGGCCTAGGACTGTACCTGCTTAAACAAAACTTGGGGTGGCTATTGAGACACATGTCCTAGCTTTAGCTGCAAAGGATATGTAAGAGCAGTTGGGCTATGGCTGAACCCTCAGATCTGCCTTGGCCCCATGTTTCTGTCGAGACCCTGAGAACTTGTGCACAGCTGCTCTGAGCAGCAGGATGGGGTCAAGCAGGGGAGGAGACAAGCATGGGAGGCATGGGCAGTATTAATTTTCTTCACTATACAAGTTAGTATTATTTCTCGTTAGCATTCTTTCCCTTGCCTCAACAGCAAAACATCTCAAAAGTAGTTCTTGTGAAGAACAACTGAGGTGGCAGGTGTTAAGATGATATACATCAGGAAGCAATGAGCCTAACTCTGCCTCTCCCCACCTCCAGCAGCCACCTGCAGAGACTGGAGGCCACAAGTCCTCTGCCTCAGTAGATGAAGACACCCACACAGAGATCTTATCTTCTCCAGGGGACAGGTGGTTACTTAAAGGAACACAGAGGCCAGCCACTAGGTCTAACAGCTTTTTTATTCCCTAGGAACAAAATGCATGAGGAAACTCCAAAAGGAAATAGGAGCATGGATGACAGAATGAACCAGGGTGGTCTGGCTTAGGAGTTCAGAGGATAGCACACTGAATAAGGAACCTGGTGAGGACCCTGTCTCTTAAATACCACCTGAGGAAGGTGAGGCCTGTGATGTAGAAAACTTGCCCCCTCTACAAAGCAGATGTTACACAACTGTCTGCTCTGAGACCCAGGATACTCCCTCTCAAGAATCGAGGTAGGCAGCAGATAAGAATGAGAGGGGGCTTGAGTATTACAGATACCCTGAACTCACGTTCAGGTGCCCACAGATGGCTGACACGAAGGGGGAGGGAACCAACAGGTAAGCCAAGGACTTCATGCTTAATGGAGGAGCTGGTCAATCTCACCAAATCAGGCCCTAGGGCAGTTACAAGAAATGTTCCTATTCCTTCCCAAAGGACTCTCTCTGGTCATACTTTAATCAAAAGCCATCCTTTCTCTGTGTATTCATTGATTGTCCAACTTGTATGTAGTTCTGTACCTCTCAAACCTGATCCTAAGAGTGACTGGCAAGGGATAAGGGAAACCCCTGTCACCCTTGCATACAACAGCGTCCATGGAGGTGAAAACATTAAAGATCAAGGTCCTGTGGGTGGTGGCACACGCCTTTAATCCCAGAACTTGGGAGGCAGAGGCAGGCGGATCTCTGTGAGTTCGAGACCAGCCTGGTCTACAAGAGCTAGTTACAGGACAGCCTCCAAAGCAACAGAGAAACCGTCTCGAAAAAACAAAAACAAAACAAAAAGATCAAGTTCCTTTGTTGTGTGCTAGGTCATGCAACCCGCCCTTGCAGAAGACGTGTAGTGACTCATCGCTGTACTGTAAAATAACCGGTGGCTGCTGTCCTGCAGGGTGGACAGACTTGAGTCCCCATCATAGGTCACAGGGAGGTCTCCTGGACAACATAGGTAGGACTGCATGGCTGGTGGGCTAGGCCATCCTCAGCCATCCTCTCTTTGTCCCTGCTGTCCTGCAGCACTCCATTCCTCATCTTCTCTGGACACAGTTTGGGGACCATTGGAGCATTCTGGGGAACACAAGAGCAGAGGTGGAGGTGAGGGTGGACAAGGGCAGAGGGGGCCAGGTAGGCCTAATGTGGGAAACACGGCAGGCACAAGGAGAACAGGGGAATGGCTACATGTGACAATGGGTCTCACCTGGCTGTGGCTTTTCCAGCAAAGCCGCTTCTGGCAGGATAAGGGCAGGAGTGAGAGGAGCTTTGGCAACACAGGATAAATGGTGCCGGGGTTCAGGGTCCGGCCCCGCATTCCCCCTGAAGGCAAAGGTGTTTGTCAAGAACCCTTGGAGCATTTCCCTTCACCAAGGCCCCAGTCCTCCAGCCCACTCTGATGTCAGCAGGGGACAGTGGCTGTTACTGACACTCAGTGTCCCAAGGGCAGGGTTCCACCTCCCCCAGACGGAAAAGTCTCCCTCAGCCCCTCATTTTGCTGTGTGGCAATCCCACACCCTCACCGGTAAGCAGACTGACAATCAGGCCCACAACGATGACTGTGGTGGAATTGTGTGCACTGTACCATAAATAGGACAGGGAGTAGAACCGCTGCAGTCCTGTGGGCCTAGGGTGAGAGCGTGAGGACAGTCATTTGACAGGGCATTTCTTGAGGCACTTCAAGCCACCCACCTACAAGGTCTCAGAACCCAACCTACCCCTGCTTATGGTTTGTGGTAACCCATCCCTTAGCAAGGTCCCCATGAAATCCCGAGGAGAATGTGAGCCCCGCCTCACTTGGACTGGGTGGTGGAAGGCATCAGGGTGGTCACAGTGGCCATGGTCAGGTTGCTGGACAGGAAGGAGCTGGACCCGTTAATGGGAGGGGACACCACGGCAGAACTCATCCTGCTCACTATGCTCCCAATGCCGATCCAGAAAGCCATGGTGAGTCCAGTCAACAGGCCCACGATGGCGCCCTACCCAGAGACAGTAAACTCTGTTATCACAAGGCCCACCACAGCCTTCATACCTGTCCCCAGAACTGCTGAATACCCCAATAGTCCAGTTCTATCCACATGCATATCTGGGGAGCCAGATGAGTCACTCACAAGAGGGTTGGCACAAGGAAAGAACATCCCCAAGCAGAAGAGTCCCAGCAGTGGCCCTCCAACCATGCCAAAGATGCTGAGTGCTGCCTGGAGTTGATGCAAAGAGAAAAGAACACATGGGCTCAGAGTCTTCAGCCTCCATGTCCTGTCAATCATCAGCTGTTGGTTTCTTCAGGGCGGGAATGGCTGTGGTGATGCACCCTGAGTTGAGGCCAAGCTCTAGGTCTCTCTGGGATAACAACATCCTAAAAATGATTTTGGGGCTTTTGCTCACTTGAGAGTCTGTTCATAGTTAAAGGCCATCTAGCCAAGGGGAATTTATGGGACTGGTGAGATGGTTCAGGGGATAAAGGCTAACACCTGAGTTCAATGTCCAGGACCCACATAGCGCAAGGAGAGAACCAACTCCCAAAAGCTATCCTCTGATCTCTACTCGAGCACTGGCATGCAAGTATACATACAATAAATGAATAAATGTAATTTTTTCCGGTTTTGACAGGGTTTCTCTGTGTAGCCTTGGCTGTCCTGGAACTCACTCTGTAGACCAGGCTAACCTCAAACTCAGAGATCCATCTGCCTGCCTTTGTTTCCCAAGGGCTGTATGCACCATTATGCCCAGCTTAAATATAATAACTTTTACCTTTTTTTTTTTTTTTGGCTTTTTTTTGTTTTGTTTTTTTGAGACAGGGTTTCTTTGTGTAACAGCCCTGGCTGCTCTGGAACACCCTTTGTAGACCAGGCTGCCTCAAACTCAGAGATCCACCTGCCACTGCCTCCTGAGTGCTGGGATTAAAGGCGTGTGCCACCATGCCCAGTTTATATGTAATAATCTTTAAAGGTGCATTCCATCCATACCTCTCAAAAAAGCTACCTTCATTTCCCGTTTCAAATATATCCCCCCCATCCCTGCTAAGAGCATCTTTCTCTCTAGGCATTACCTGGAGCACTGATCCCAGATGAGAGGAAATATAGGCCATTCCCAGGCAAATCAGCCCATAGGCAAAGGCTGGGGAGAAATGGAGGGGAGGCAGCAAATGATGTGAGCAACCACAAGAAGAGATAACGCACACACTCTCCAACCAAACCACTCTGTACCCCTAGAAAGACTGGCCTATAACCTCACACCCCAGCCCCAGGGCCCGCTGCTGTCCTTATCGTGTGACCCAGATTCTACGTGCTCCTGCTCTCCCCTCAAAGCAATACAAAGTGGAGTAAGGGCTGTGTGCTTCATGAGGCATGTGCTGAGCCCAGGACACACAGATAAGAGTTACAGAAGACTGATGATAGTGGCCAGGGTGTATCTCAGAATGAACAAGACTTAAGATACACAGAAGAGTAATCCTACCAAGGCTTCGGGAAAGCATGATGGCCCGGGTTTCGGTCAGCTCAGGGAACCAGGGTTGAATGAGGTCTTCCATGGTGACGGTTGCCAGTGAATTGAATGCAGATGATATGGTGCTGCAGAGGAGGGAAAGGATGAGCTGGGTTGGGTCTGAGAGCGAAAGAAGGCAGAACTCAGGACTCCACAGAAGGATCAGACGCATAAAGGTGAGAAACTACCCATCTATACATAGCTCAGGCTATGTCAAAGCAGGTTTGGGAAGTAGGACTTTTCTGATGGAGGATTTGTTCACATAGATGGCTGACACTGTCAAATGAAAGCATACTTTGCAGGAGGCTATGCTGTGTTCTGCCACCCAAAACAGATGGGCACACTGTCCCAGCAGGGCAGATAGACCACATCTAGGGCAAATTGTAGAGGAGTACCTGAGGGATCCACTGAAGAGGCAGGCAACAAAGAGCCCAGGCAGCCCTGGCATGTCCTTCAGAAGGTCCATGACAAAATAGAGGACTAACTGTAAGTAGAGCAGAGCACACTCAGAGGGATGCCCCCTCCTGCTTTATGTGTGGAGAAGCCCCTCTGGACATGCCCTTGCCATTCAGAGCCTGGGGGCATCAGGACAGGGAGCCAGTAATGAAGGCATCTTCTTCCTCAAGCAGGGAGGAAAGGGGCCCTGAAGAGCAAACTATACAGCCCATCCAGAGTCTCCTCTGAGGAGCAGTGTGATGTTATGGCAGCATGCTGCCTACCTCACCAAGCCGTCTTCTATAAAATGAGGCTTTTGGGAAGCTTAGATGAGAGCAGACATGCAATAGCTTCCAATAAGAGGCAGTTGGTACCAGTTGTGTCCCCACACCATCAAATAGGGTGAACACTGATTAGATTTGCTGAGGACTGGAATCTGACAAACTAGACAGTTGGGACCTCAGGATGGCAAAACACTATTCATCTATTTTTTTTCAGTTTAGCCACACAGCCACTCTGTTTAGTGACCAAGACTGGCTTCTCATGAGCATAGGATGGAGCCAGAGAGGCCCCCTCACCTGGTCAGGTGCTGCTTGCTCTTGCTGGGGGCTCATAGTGTATTTCTTATAATAGGCAAACATGACCAAACCAATGAGGGAGCTCATGCAGAGGGCCACTTGCTGGCAGGGGAACACGGCATAGCAGGAGCTGCAAAAGACCAGTACCAAAAGACAGAGATGACGTTGACACTGTTAGACATGTCCTCCTGAGCCAGCCTCCAGAAAGCCCCAACAAGGGGGGTGGGCACACTGAACCCTGCCCCACCTCACTGCTTCCAGGGAACCCTCCCCAGCTCTTGCTCCAGTGCGTCCTACCCCTGCACTCACAGCACAGCAGCCTTCTCTGAGCGGGAGCTGAGATAGCGCTGCACCTGAGCCTGGTTCACACCATACAAAGACAGCATCATGAAGACACCCCCAAAGGCCAAAGTCCAGAAAGTATGACGCACAAATGGGTCAGGATCCAGCCTACAACAAATACTACCTGGTCACTGCCACAGCCACTGGTATGAATCCAGGCAATGTCCACGATCCACCCACGATCACCTTCTCCCTCTGCAGTATGGGCTTTCTGTCTATGGTGTTGCCAGCTTTCTCTCTGCTTACTAAAGGCCTGAGACCAGGCTCTGAAATGTGCTCAGCCGCTTGGTGCTATAGGTACCAGTTAAGGAAGCACAGACTTACTCAATCCCAGAGATGAGTTTATGCTGGGAGGCCACATCCCATACATGCCCCAAGCCGCCTACTCTGGCAGAGCCTACAATGATAACCACCAGCTGCCCTAGGAACATGACCAGTGTTTGGAACACATCTGTCCAGATGACAGCCTTCAGCCCACCCTGCAAGGAAAAAACATCACATCCATCACAAACACCAAATCAAGCAGAGAAGGTGGACATTACACTCCCAAGAAAGCCCCTGCAGAATACCCAAAACAGCTGGAGTCATTCCATCTTCTCCTTCCATAGCCCACACTTAATCTCATTCTACAGCGCCTCACCCTGGAACTTCATCCCATTTCTCGTCTCTTCTCATGCTAGCCCTTCTTTCCCATCTCCCATCTTCCTGCTGTTACCCCAGAAATAACTGCAATTACCAGTGCTGTGTAGATGTTGCAGACGATCCCCAGGGCCAGAACTGACAGCCACAGATCAAATCCAGTCACTGAAAACATAAGAGTCATAAATCCAATCTCTGGAAGGTTTTCTAGATCATAAACATGAACCAGCTGTGGTGTCACATATCTTTAATCCCAGCATTCTGGGATGCAGAGACTACAGCCAGGGCTACATAGAGACCATGTCTCAACAAACAAACAAAGCCTATCACAATAATGAAGCAACTAGTCATTAAAGGTAAAATAAATCAGCCGGGCATTGGTGGCACACGCCTCGGGAGGCAGAGGCAGAGGATCTCTGTGAGTTTGAGACCAGCCTGGTCTACAAGAGCTAGTTCCAGGACAGCTTCCACAGCCACAGAGAAACCCTGTCTCGAAAAACAAAAAATAAAAAAAGAAAGAAAGGTAAAATAAATCATTTCTCAACAAGGAAAAACGTTCAGAGCTCCACCGAAATGTTGATTAACCAGTTCAGGTGTGGCATGACAATGTTTGATCAGCTTTTGACTGAGGTGAACTAAGTCTACTTCTACCCCTGGTAGAGACCAAGAGCCCTGTTAACTAATCAACTCTCTTTGTAGCACACTACCCCCTCTGTCTGCTAAGCCCAGAAGTCAGGGACTGTGACTCCTCACCTGCATTGAGGGCCAAGGATGGTGCATAGAGAGCAACTCCCATGTAGATCACCTGTAGGAAATGTGACAGGGAGAAGAGATGCAGGTGGAAAGACAGTATCCCCAAGGCTGCCCTGCACCAAAGTCTGGCTTGCCACCACTGTCACATCTATAGTGGCATTGGACAGGCCACACAGTCACTCACAGGAATTTCAACACTGTCAGTTTAAGAACAGGGAAAGGCCTGAGTTCGGCCTCCCCCCCATGTCCCAGGCTCAGTTTCCAGAACATTTCACCTACCATCTGAAAGATGAAGGTCACAGTCCCCAGGATCCGCACTGCTTTATTGAAGCGAAGCTCCAGGTACTAGATACAAGCACAAACAATTTATATACCTTTTAAGGCATGGCATATCCAACTCTCACAATATATAACCTCTCTCCTCAAGAGGCCTAATAACACAAGGGATTATCTAAACCATATACTTTGGACCCCTAGGCATGGCACTCTCCCACTCCCGTCCCAGCTTAACTTCTCCAGGAAGAAGAGATACTTGGGGCAGTCATTCTTTGGTGGGAGCCTAGAGTACCTATCTTAGGTACCTATCCCCTTCTCCACCCTTGTGCTGGAGGTCACCCTTTCCTGTTTACCTCATAGGCACTGGTAAGATGCAGGCGGTAGAAGACTGGGATGAAGACGTGAGCAGGGATCAGGAGCCCCAGAAAGTAGGAGCATCCCAGGAACCAATACTGGGTTCCAAATCGGTAGATCTCAGCTGGTGCCCCCAGGATGGCTACCGCTGACTGGAAGGTGGCCAGCAGGGACAGTGATACAGGAAGGCAGCCCATTTTTCGGTCTGCCAGCAGCAGCTCACCAACAGTATGCCGGCCCCATCCACGGCAAGCATGATAGAGCCCAATGGCAAGGGAGAGAACCAGCAACAGGCCAAATACCACATAGTCCACAACAGAAAAGGTGGCAATAACCTTGTTGGTATCTGAGGTTGTGTAGAAGGGAGCTGAGGTGCTCTCTTCCACACTCATCCTCACTGTGCCCCTGTTTTTCAGGACTCCTAGGCTCTGAACTGTCACTTGACTGAGCAGGTAAAGGCAAATGGCTCCAAGCTGACTCCTGGCTCAGGTTCACAGCATTCCTCCTCTTCCTTCCAGTGACATGGTCCAAGGGGAGCTGCAAGAATTCATCTCTCAGTCAAGCCTACCCTGCCCTCATGGCTGCCCACCCACAGGCTTTGGACATGTCACGACAGACACAGACTAGACAGCCAGCATAGTGGTGAATGCTTGCAAAGTACGGGACAGATTTGTTAGAGGTTAGAGAGGGAGGAAGGGAGCAGCAGAGTGAGACAGACAGGAGACAGTAACTTGGCCAGAACCTTTGGGTGTTCAGTTATGAAATTCAAGCCCTTTCTTGGGTCTCCTCCCAAGAAGCAAAATAAAAACCAACTCTAGCCTAATTTTCTTCATATAATCCCTGCATCCATTTTTGGGCACAGACCCAGTCACTACAATATATTGAGCCAGCAAAGCCCAGTCTGGCGCCATAGCCCAGCAGGGAAGAAAAGGGAGAATAGGATTTCCCCTATTCGCCTTGGCCTCAGTTCCACCTCCCATGACCCAGAGCTGTCATCCTTCTGACAGCACCCCAACCTCCAGCACAGACCAGTGAGCTTTCAAGTCCCATTCAGAACATCAGAAGACCGACCACTCTGTATATCTTTTGGGATTAAAAGCATGTGCCACCACTGCCCAGCTGTACCCCTTTATTAACATCCCCAATATCACTAGAGAAACCCTACCACTCTATCTTAGCTCCTGCTAGACAGACACACCTGACAAGGGTGGACTTGGTCAGAGTGGCAGAATTCAACAATGAGACAGACAGGGGCTGGAGGGATGTTCAGTGGTTAAGAGTACTTGCTCTTGTACTACTGCTATTCTCAGCATCCACATGGCAGCTCACAATCATCTATTACTCTAGTTCCAGGGGATCCGACACCCTCTAATGGCCTCTGGGGGCACCAGGCACACATGTGGTGCACAGACATACATGCAGACAAAACACCCATACACATTATACTGGGATCAGACACATACCTGGAGAAGCAATTCCTGTTCTGGGGAAGAGCTGCCTGGAGTGAGACAAAGGTAGAGGCTCTGATTCTTCAAGTAGCTGAGGAGAGAGCAAGAACTGGGGTCAGAGAAAAGCATAGATGCTTTTTGTTCTGGGCTCATCAGGGAGCCAAACACAGTGCCCCAAAATGGCCCGCATCACTCTATGTCCTGACCCAACTCTAGAAGTTCCAGACTGGAGAGCAGAGAGCTCACATACAACATTCTTAGATGGATTAGGCTCTCAGACTAAATCGCTCTTGGCACCTTGTGTGCTAGACAGAGTTAGGAAGGAGTTGCCTAGAGAAGACAGAAAAGTTACTTTTCTAATTCTCTCTCTCTCACACACACAAAAAATCATAATTCTAATAATATGCCACAATCTTTAAAAGTACAAAGATGGGATCACACTATTCAAAGTAAATCACTTTTACAGCATCCTCACTTCACACAGAAGCATGAAAGATCCAGACATTCAAGTAGCCTTTTCCTTTTTTCTATTTTTATGTATGCACATGAGCAGATTCATGCACATGTGGAAGCTACAGGTGTCTTTCTTGGTCACTTTCCAGGCAGGGTTCATTCAGAGATTCATAGGCAACTGCCATGCTTTGGTCTTCATATTTGGGTGGCAAGCCTTTTACCTACTACTGAGCTATCTCCTGGGTCTCTCAAGCAATCGTCCTAAAAAATAAAAAAACAGCTAAGTAACTGTCGGAGGCAACATTAGAATGCCGACCTAGAGATCCTCATCCATATTACACTCCCAAGTGTATTCCTTGTCTGAAAAGCAATCCCCAAGCAGGACAGTGGTGGCGGCACACATTTTTAATCCCAGCACCAGGGAGGTAGAGGCAGATCCAGAGGTAATCTCTGTGAATTCAAGGCCAGCTTGGTCATAAAGCAAGTTCAAGGACAGCCAGGGCTACAATGAATCCCTGTCATGAAACAAAGAAACAAACACAAAATCAACAAAAAGCAATCCCCTAGAAGTACTCCTAGGTGTGGAGGGGAATACCAGAGATTGTTACATATTTAGATAGCCCAACACCATGACAGCCAATGTTCTCTGAATACTTGCCATGTGAGCCAGCAGTAAGTGAAGGACCTCACTGTCACTAGTTCACAGACTTTTGCCCCATTGGACGCATAAGCCACACCTTAGATTCTAACTAGTACCCCCTAGGTGCTAAATTCCTACCTTACAGCAGCCTAAGGTAGTGTGATGCAGACTCTTGCCAAGTAATATGTAGCGCTACATCCTATCTGGGTTGTGTTGCTAAACTGAGACCACCACCCTTCTAAACTCAAACATCTTCCCCTTGAAGCTCTACAAAAACAAGTGGTTTTCTGTTTTGTGTATTGGATGCTGTTGAATCTTCTATCCCAACTTTCTCCAAGGTAAGATGCAGGACATTTCACCTGAAAAAGCCTCAGGGCATCTCTCTACAAAGGCTGCAAAGAATGAATCTTGAATCTATTAGAGGGGCTGGAGAGACGTCTCAGGGACTAAAGAGCTCTAACATCTCTGTGGAGGATTCACATGTGGTTCCAAGCACCCTGAAACCACCTATAACTCCAGCTCTGTCACTTCTGATCTCAAGCCAGCACTCACATGGACACACAGCACAAAACAATAAAGAAATCTTCCAAAGGTAACTCACCAGACCTCACTATTCGCAAGACTAGGAGAAGGGCAGAGTGCTAACTGTAGTTAGTCATTCATGGAACAGTGTAGATTTCAACTAATCTGGTGATATATTAATACATTCTGCCCACCAAGAGATCAGGGTATCTTCTCCCACACTGTATTCAACACACCTGGGCAGGTATTACCTGGTTGACAAGATGTGGTTCCCACAGAGTAAGAAAGGGTCTGAGCTTTGGTCACATGTTCTACAGTTACAAATGCTACTCTCCAGAGCAACAATCCCAACTGGGCATTCTGGTTTAATCTAAAGATGCCCCAGGTCTTTGTATATTGCAATACCTTGATTAAGATTTCCCCCTATTTATTTATTTTGGTTTTTCGAGACAGGGCTTCTCTGTGGCTTTGGAGGCTGTCCTGGAACTAGCTCTTATAGACCTGGCTGGTCTCGAACTCACAGAGATCCACCTTCCTCTGCCTCCCGAGTGCTGGGATTAAAGGCGTGGGCCCATCTGAGATTTCTTCCTCTTTATCAAGTCTTCCTCTTTATCAAGTCTTCCTCTTTATCAAGAAGTTTCTGCTATGAAACTTCTTGGCCTGGTTAGACTAGCAGGATGGTGATCACACATTCCTTTAATTCCAGCACTTGGGAGGCAAAGGCAGGTGGATCTCTGAGTTGGAGGTCAGGCTGGTCTACAAAGTGAGTCAGAATAGTCAGGGCTACACAGGAGGCAGAGGTAGGTGGATCTTTATGAGTTCCAGGCCAACCAGAGCTACATGGTGAGGCCATGTCTCAAAATGAAAACATGAGGGTGGCAGGTCCAGGTACTGACTCTACTTCTGGGGTTTTCCTGATAAATTATTTTCATTAGGCAGCAAGAATTCCCTAGTATGAAGAAACAAAGAGCTAAGCAGACAGGAAAACGCCAATCCAGTAACACAGTCTTCATTTCACACAACCCAGTTCTAGGAAAAGAACAATGGCTTTCTAAAAACCCCACTGATTCACACCAATGGACATGTCTATCTCAGAGGAGCCAAAAGAAAGCCAAGCTAAGTAGGGTCCCCTCTTAGAAACCCTGTCATCACACACTGCACTAGATATTTTAACTGCAGTGAAAGTACTGAAGGGTTGTGGGTTTCTTTACTGGGCCACAGGGCTAAATCCTCTTCCTCCTCTGAAATCTAAAGGAACACCTGCAGGGTCAACCGCCACCATTATGTCTTGGGTTTAAAATTCCTCAGTTTTCTCACTAAAACAAAATACTCCAGCAGCTAAATGTATTAGCAAATGTAAATTCAGGACTTCCAGGGAGGTACTTGACCATGTGGGCAGGAAACACAAGGAGGTTACCTGAAATGAACTCCAATTGTCTTTGGTGACCTTTTCAGGTGGTGTCCTCACCAAAAGCAATAGCTGTCCTTAGGTGTGACGGGTCTCTCCCAGCGCCCTCCCAGATAGGACTCCTGCGACTCCTGCGGAAGCGCTCGCTACCTTGCCTTGCGTCAGTGGTTCGGCCAGGACTACCAAAGTTCCTTCGTTCTTTCCGAAACCAGCACTGTCCTTTCCCTGGGAAGGCAATGAACGAGTTAGGGAAGCGTCTTTGCCGCTTCAACACCTTGCCCGGGCTCCCGAACACTACGCAACATTAAGGTGAAGATGCCTGGACTCGTGTCCTCCCTGCCTGCGTCTGCCCTTCGCCCTCCGATCTTCGCCCCTCCATCACCCATACCCTCTCTCGATCCAGCTTTCCCCTTCTCTCCACACGTGGCGAACCCACCACACTCTGCGCTAGTATTTAAGACCTTCTTCCCCAGCCCACGCCACCCCATCCCACCCCCCCCCACCCCGGCCCGGCCCCCCTGCTGGCCCCCCTCCCCTTGGGTAGCTGGCCTGCGGGCCAGCCGGGCCGGAGCAGCGCCCGGCTTGGTGACAGCGGGACCCCACCCCCTTGCCCGCCCTGATCGCAGTGCCGCCATGTTTACTGAGGGCGGATGGAGAGGCCCAGCTGTCCGCACCGTGCTGAGGAAGCGTGCAGTAGACTCCAAGCAACTAAGCGGCGCCTGGGGCGGCCTGAGCTCCCGGAAGAATGGAGGGAGGGCGGGTCTGCCCACCAGGACCAGGCACAGTGGAGCGCAGACATGATCCCAGGAGTCGGCGAGCAGCAGCGGCGCTCTGGCAGATTAGGCCACGCCCCGCGGCGCCGGCCGAAGACCGATTAGGCCACGCCCCAGATTGACAGGATTTGGGAGACTAGGTCCCGCCTCGAGTGACGCGTGGGGGCGGGGCCTCGCGCTTGGCTCTCGCGAGCTGTCAAGAAGGTCGAAAGGAGTGGAAAATGGCGTCGCGCGAGCCAGGCAGTTCTGTGAACCCGGTGCCTTGGGCTGCTGCCCTGCTCCTGGTTGTGGGCATGGAAAGGGCTCTGGCTCTACCTGAGGTACAGGAGAAAGTCTGAGATATGTCTGAAGAAGGCTGCTGATCGTCAGCCTGGCGTCGAGCTCGCCCGCCGGTGGCTGTCCCAGCCCCAAGCCCAGATTTCTCCCTCCCTGAGGATTCCCTAGCCCTGTCCCAGCGGGAATCGTGCTCTCTCTCGAGTGCTCACGTAGTGCCGGCCACTGGCACCTTTGCCTTGCCCACATTCAGAGACCTTTGAAATTGGATCTCCTTGCTTTTGAGTAACTTTACCAGAGTCCCCCGGCCCCTCGGCCAGCTGTCTGTCCTTGCACGGATACTGTGCGTGTGCATTGGCAGGACTGTATTCTGTGATGCTGGAGCACTCTGAGACCTGCATGCAGCCCTCTAACACTTGCCAAACCATGCCTGTCAGGCGGAGAAGTCTCTGGAGAGGACATAATAGGGTCAAGTAATGATTCTCACAGATGAGGACCTGCTCTCGGGAAGGACTTGCACAGGGCGCTGATTTGGTGCCCGGTTGTAGGGGAAGAAATGGGTTCTATTTATAAAAGCCAGCTCTCTGCTCTGTGTTATAGTCCTCTGGAGGGAGGACCGACAGCTAACTATTGATTCTTGTTTGTTCTTTTTTCTTTCTGGAGTCTTAAGGTTTCTTTCTCTTCTGCAGATATGTACCCACTGTCCGGGAGGCGTGCAAAATACGTCCAGGGTAGCTGTTTACTGTGAGAATGCATCGGCGGCAATAATGCAAGCCCGATGCTGCCTGAGTCAGAAGGGCACCATCTTGGGGTGAGGGAAGAGAAGACATCCTTGGATACTCAAAATAAGTTCCCAGACTGGAGTCTACAGGCTCGCCTAACTGACTTTGGGGATAAATATTGGCACCTAACTGGAGGCATCCAATGTTAATTCTAAAACGTTTAAATTCGATGTAAATTTTTATTCCATAGGTAAAAGATCTTTTGGGTTTTTTTCCTAGATGCCCAGCTGATTTGCTTATTTTCGTTGTTTTATTTTGTTTTTTCTTTCATTAAAACCTCTGTGGCTGAGCCTGGTCTTTGTAATTTCAGCACTGGGGAGGACATAGGCTGGGCAGTGGTGGTTCATTCCTTTAATCCCAGCACCTGGGAGGCAGAGGCAGTCAGGTCTCTGTGAGTTCAAAGCCAGCCAGGGTTACACAGAGAAACCCACAGTCACCCTTAGTTACTTAGGGAATTTAAGACTAGCTTGGGTTATACTGAGATCTTGTCTCAAAAAGAAATCATTTCAGTGGGGATGCTGGACACTGTGGTTCTTCTCTTTAACCTGGCATTTGAGAGGCTGAGGCTGGAGGACTGTCACAGGTTAGACCAGCCTGAGCTGCAGAGTGAGACCCTGTCTCAAAACAAAACAAGTCTCTGTAGAGTGGTGGCTGTGATTGTTGCTTGGTGACAGAGTGCTTGCCTCAAACATACAAGGGCTGTGTTTAATCCCCAGCAGCAACAACAAAAACCTCTGAGTCTGAGAATCACAGGATTAGAGCTACTAATCCTGGAGAAAAATAACACAAAGTTTCTTCCAATATTTGCACAGTGCATAGCCTTACTGGCCAGAACTGTGTGATCCAATAGAAATTTCTGTTGATGATATAAATGTTCCATATCAGTACTAATCAGCACAGGAACCACTTGTGAGAATACTCTTGAATTTTAGGTAAATTAAAATGTCTACATGTAGCTAGGGCTAACTAGATTGGATAATACATGATTACAATGTCTACCATCACACTTCTCTTATAGTTCTGAACACAATGATGTTCCATGGGGTATGTGCACAAATACTAACCTTGCCAGGGATGGAAAAGAGACATAGTTACATTAATCACTTTGTTCCTTCAGGCTAGATCTCCAGAACTGTTCCCTGAAGGATCCTGGTCCAAAGTTTTTTCAGGCTTCTACTGCTCTTATCATGTAAGTGGTTAGGTACTTTCCTAATATGGTGATGGGAAAGTCTTTGGAGATAACTCTTAACATTAGTGTCTAAACCTATACAACTGAGGATAGGGATTAGATTAATAGGCCAGGAAATCATGTATAAAGGTAAATATCATGCTTTTCTCAACAGAGTACTAACAGTGTGTACTTTGCAGAGACCTTCAAGCAAATCCTCTCAAGGATGGTTTGACCAACATTTTCCGTGGCTTTACCCAGCTCCAGACTCTGTGAGTAGTGGGGAAGAGAGAGTCATAGGTGTTAATTATTAAGTGCTCAGCAAAATCGAAGCTGCTATTGCTGTTGTGTGTGTGTGCATATGTGCATGAGTGAGTTTGTATGCACATGGGTATCTGTGTGCATGTGTGTTGGGTACCCATGAACCCATGCCTTATATGTCGATGAATGTTTGTTCTACTACTGAGCTAACCCTAACCTCTTTGGCTGTGCATTTATGATCACACGTGTTCTCTTCAGGATACTACCACAAGATGTCACCTGTCCTGGAGGTATTAATGCCTGGGAAAGTATTACCTCTTTCACGGACAAGCAAATTTGCCAAGGACAAAAGGACCTGTGCAATAGCACTGGAAGCCCAGGTATGCTGTAGCATGGCCATCTCACCGGGGAGTCCTTTTCCTTCTTTGTAAGTGAAGCCATTCTCTACTTCTCCACTTTAGAAAGACAAAGGATGCTAAGTACCTTTTTGTCCAGAGTTCTCCATTCCCGGAAAATGTTTTTATTATTATTATTATTATTATTATTATTAATTATTATTTTGTTTGGTTTTGGTTTTTCGAGTCAGGGTTTCTCTGAATTGTTTTTTGGACTCACTCTGTAGACCAGGCTGGCCTCGAACTCACAGAGATCCTCCTGCCTCTGCCTCCCAAGTACTGGGATTAAAGGCATGCACCACCAACCCCCTGGCTAATTATTTTCTTTTAAATATTTACTTATGAAGCCTGGGGTTGGTGGCGCACGTCTTTAATCCCAGCACTTGGGAGGTAGAGGCAGGAGGATCTCTGTGAGTTCGAGGCCAGCCTGGTCTCCAGATCGAGTGCCAGGATAGGCTCCAAAGCTACACAGAGAAACCCTGTCTCGAAAAAATAATTTTTTTTTTTTACTTATCATGTATAGGGTTCTGTTCTGTCTGCATGTACACGTACAAGCCAGAAGAGGGCGCTAGATTTCCATTATGGATGGTTGTGAGCCACCATGTGGCTGCTGGGAATTGAACTCAGGACCTCTGGAAGAGCAGCCAGTGCTCTTAATCTCAGATCCATCTCTCTAGCCCAAGGTTTTAATTATTATTGTTAGTGTTATATTCTGATTATTTATGATCTTTCTTTTATTTTTTTGTTTGCTTTTGTTTTTATTTTCTGAAGCAGAGTCTATGTATTCCCAGCTGATCTGGAACTCAGGCTGGACTTCAACTAACTCACACAGATCTGCTTGCCCCTGTCTCCCAAATGCTGAGATTTAGGCATATGCCACCATGCCCAGCTTTTCCCTCTACTTTTGACCTAGAAACGTAAGAGAATCTAAGCAGACATTTGAGAAAACTACTTAATGAGATTCGGTGATGTCCTCTCATCCAAGTACCATACTTCTGAGATCAGAGGAGATTGGGTCTTCAGCCGCATGGCCTTAGACTCTAGTGACTCTTGTTTTCCTCTGGCTCCCAGAAGTGTGTCCTGAGAATGGATCTTGTGCACCTGAAGGTCCTGGTCTTTTGCAATGCGTTTGTGCTGATGGTTTCCATGGATACAAGTGTATGAGGCAGGTAAGGAACTGAACCTTTCACAACTAGAGGGATGCATTTGGCAAGAACCTTCCAGAAAGATACAAGGGACTGATGTCAGTTGCTGGTAGGCAACTACAAGAGAAGTGCCAGGATAAGGGGATGCTTGGCTAAGAAAGAACTAGGTGTCAGAAAGAGACCCTGTGAATACTTCTGTGACTTGTTTGTTTGCTAATCACAGGGCTCCTTTTCACTGCTTATGTTCTTTGGGATTCTGGGATCCACCACGCTAGCCATCTCCATTCTACTTTGGGGAACTCAGCGCCGAAAGGCCAAGGCTTCATGAACCTCACAGGGCTTCTTGGTCACCCGAGATCGTTCTGATCGTGACAAACATTACTCGCCAACCAGCGGATCCTGCTCAAGGCTGAAGCGGCCATTGATAATGAAGGAAGGTGTCAAATTTCACCACCTCGGGGTGGCGGACACTCGGTTCAGGAGGGGACGTGTACTTGCTTGTATTATTGACTACAATAAACACTTTTTTCCTCATTGTTTTAGGGAATAGTGCCCTACCTTTGCGTGTTCCTTGCTTGAGGGGCTGGTTTGGGAAGGTCAGGTTTCTCGGGTCTCCAGGGTTTGGCTCGGTGTGATGCTGGGGACCCACCCCACGGTCCCGCCCCTTACGTGCCCGGCCCCGCCCCTCACGCTACCGGCTAACTGCGCCGTCGCAGTCTGCTCCAGCTCAGTACGATCAGGACTCCCGCTTGCCGCGCCCGCCTGCTCTCCAGCGCCCCGCTCAGCGAGCCACGTGGACCAACTTCGGCGCGCGGTGTTTGCTTGGTTCCAGTGGGGCTCGCCGCGCCTCCTGTGTCTCGCTGCTTGCCGGGTCTCGGCTCCGACCCCATGGCGGCCCTTGTCTTGGAGGACGGGTCAGTGCTGCAGGGCCGGCCCTTTGGGGCCGCTGTGTCGACTGCTGGGGAAGTAGGTAAGCTAGCCCGAGCCGACTGCCGACCTCATCCCAATCTGCTTAACCTGT